TTTTTTAATGAGATGGAGTCTCGCTCTGTCACCCAGCTGGAGTGCAATGGCATGATCTTGGCTCACTGCAACCCCCACCTCCTGGGTTCAAGCAATTTTCCTGCCTCAGCCTCTCCAGAAGCTGGGATTACAGGTGCCCGCCATCACGCCTGGCTAATTTTTGTGTTTTCAGCAGAGACGGGGTTTTGCCATGTTGGCCAGGCTGGTCTCAAACTCCTGACCTCAGGTGATCCGCCGCCTTGGCCTCCCAAAGTGCTGGGATTACAGGCGTGAGCCACTGCATCTGGCTGTTCTCCAACTTTAAGACTACACACATGTACATATCTTCTGGGAATCTTGTTAAAATGTGGGTTCTGATTCAGGAGATCTGAGGGGGAGGCCTGAAGTTCGGCATTTCTGATGCATTTCCACATGATATAAATGATACTGGTTCCAGAGCCACACTCTGAAAAGCAAGGGGAAAAAACTGGTTTTCCAACTAAGCTGCAGATGAGAAACACCTGGGAAGCTTTGAAAACTCCTGATGCTCAGACATTATTCCAGACCAATTAAATCAGTACCTAGGCATTAGTATCAGTATTTTTCAACACCCACCACCACCACTGCTGCCACCAGGTAATTCCAATGTGCAGCCAAGGTTCACAACAACTGCTCTGAAGCATCATGTTCCCCTCCGGTGCCCTGGCCCACTTTTCAAAGAAACAGCCATAAAACGGAGAGCCTCCTAATGAGAGTATCTCTAGAATTTCACCCTCAAGCTTAATCACAATATTAATAGTAAGACTCTGCATATACACTTTTAGCTCACTAATATTTGATTTCTCTTTGTCAAAACGGATTCAAATACTGCTAAATGAGCTTTAATATATGCTGTTAAAACTCTCTTATAGACGCCAGCCCTTGCTTCCCACCCATACTCCTCTAGATGAATCTGCCCTGACCCACAGCTGAAGAGTTCAGGGAGCTATTTGTAGCAGCTGCCCTCCTACGCTTATTTTTCTATTCTATTCTTTCTATTCTATTCTATTCTATTCTTTCTATTCTATTCTATTCTATTCTATTCTATTCTATTCTATTCTATTCTATTCTATTCTCTTCTCTTTTATTTTTTGAGGCGGAGTCTCACTCTGTTGCCCAGGCTGGAAGGCAATGGTGCAATCTTGGCTCACTGCAACCTCTGCCTCCTGGGTTCAATAGATTCTTCTGCCTCAACCTCCCAAGTAGCTGGGATGACAGGTGCCTGCCACCACGCCGAACTCCTCCTGTACTTTTCAATGCAGCTAATTATTGGCAAGGGTGGACAACTGACTGAAATAAGCCAGTCTGTTCATTTATTCATTTAAAAAAAAATTAAGTGCAGGGAATAAATTGGTGAGCACTGTCTCTATTCTGAGTTAATCTAGCGAGAAAGACAATTGTTATATAAAGCAGTATATGCTTTATTACGGGCAAGTCCAGGGTGCACAGAGCAGGAACATCTTTTGTAGTCTGGGAGTGGGGAGAAAGGGGTAGTTGAATATTTTAAGGATAGCTTAAGATGGAAGTGACAGCTTGGCTGAGACACCTGAAAGTAGAAGTAGGAGTTGGTCAGATGCCAGAAGGGAGTAAGAATGGTCTAGGCAGAAGAAATTGCACAGATGAAGATCCACATGCAGAAGAAAACATGACCAGTTAGGATAATTGGAAGCTCTAGTGTAGACTGCATGGATGGTGTCAGAGCAGAGAGTAGGTAACAGACAGGTTGGGAAGGCATGGTACTCAGTCAAGTTATCTCTTTCAAGAGTTGTAACTGTAATACTGGGCAATAGAGATGATTGGCTGTGGGGATATAGATCTGGCAATGTCCTGTAGGGGTGAAGCCTGAACTCCTAGCAAACCAGCTCCACACGCTAGGGATTCCTCCTTTTTTTTTTTTTTTTTTTTTTGAGTCAGAGTCTGGCTCTGTCGCCCAGGCAGGAGTACAGTGGAACGATCTCGGCTCCCTGCAAGCTCCACCTCCCGAGTTTTTTTAGTAGAGACGGGGTTTCACGTGTTAGCCAGGATGGTCTCTATCTCCTGACCTCGTGATCCGCCCGCCTCGGCCTCCCAAAGTGCTGGGATTTCAGGCGTGAGCCACCGCGCCCGGCCGGATTCCTCCTTTTAGGTTCAAGTCTCCATTGGCCCTCACACATTTGATTTCCCACCCCTGAACACCTGTAAGATTTACTGTCATATTCTTACAGTGAATGGATTCCCTTTAACACAAGCGAGTACAAAAGGGTTTGTACTTCTTGCTATCAAGTAGTGGAGCCAAACCTCTGATTATTAAGGGGCCAGTGGATGTTAGTTAAAGCTAGAAGGCAGGGTCCTGTTTATAGTGTTGGTCTGTTTATTTGGGGAAAGGTATTGACATAAGGCTGAAGCATTGTATGAAAATCTGCTGTTTAAAAATCTTAGCGGGAGCTTATACTGCTAGAAGATTCACAAGCGCAGAAGCACTCTGTTTTGCTGCTTTCAAGAAAATAAATGGTTAAGAAGGTGGCTCTAAGTACCAATCAACAACCTAATTGCAAGCAAAGTGTCTAAGAGGAAATAACCTGAGTGATGGCCGACCTTGCAGGCAGAACTCTCTGAGGGTGCTTTTCAACTGTGATTTTACCCCCAGGGGACATTTAACAATATCGGGAGATATTTTTGGTAGTCACAACTGAGAAGTGGGGTGCTTCTGGCATCCAGTGGGTAGAGGCTGCTGAACATCCAACAATGCACAGGACAAGCAAGAATGAGTCAGCCTGAAATCTCGACAGTGCCAAGATTGAGAAACCCTGCTCTATGACAACAATAAACAGAACCTTACTCTTTCAGGAACTGAAAAACAAAAACAAAAACAAACTGTCTCTCTGAAATGGTGAAAATGACTTTGGAACTCCCTTGATCTACCTCTACAGTTGCCACGCAAAATAAAATAAACCAATAGTTTCTAGTCTTAAAACAAGAGCGTGAAATGTCCCTTTATCAGGACTGAGGAATATCTGAGGACTAGAGTTGAACATTCAGGTGACAAACTGTTAAACAATGGTCTCCACAGAGGAGTGTGTTTATCCTAGGGTGGAAAGAAGACAACACACCGGGTTCTGAGAACAGAGCTTCCATTTACTTTTTTTTTCTTTCTTTCTTTCTTTTTTTTTGAGACGGAGTCTTGCTCTGTTACCCAGGCTGGAGGGCAGTGGCGCGATCTGCACCGCAACCTCCGCCTCCCGGGTACAAGCGATCCTCCTGCCTCAGCCCCGATAGTAGCTGGGATTACAGGCACGAGCCACCATGCCTGGCTAATTTTTGTATTTTTAGGAGAGACGGGGTTTCACTATGTTGGCCAGGCTGGTCTCAAACTCCTGACCTCAGGTGATCCACCCGCCTTGGCCTCCCAAAGTACTGGGATTGCAGGCGTAAGCCACCGCCCCTGGCCCCTATTTACATTTTTAACCTTAAAAAAAAATTAAAGTTGCCTTGTGCTTTCATTTGGTCTTGGTGCCAGACAAGTGTTAAATACAGAGAGAGGCCTCCTGAGAGAAGAGCAGACACTTCGTTTGAGGGACTGATGGTGGGAGCTCACTTCCCTGAGAGCATTCTTCTGCCCATGGTCTGGATCAGTCAAAATTATCAGCTTTTTGTTTACATCCAAGCAACACTACTCCAACTAGCGTAGGTATTGGAACAAATGTTCATAGTCCTGAGGGTACGACACTGATAAGATCCCAAGGGGAAATAAAAAGCTTTCTATTTGAGCAAAAAGGTAAAGCACTATGCAGTCATCTTTTTTGGCGTTCGTGGCATATCATAACAGATCTCACGAAAGCAATTAAAATTCCTATATTATTAGGATAACTTTGCATAATTAAAATTACATAAGTGTACAACAGCTGAAAACACAGCATTAAATACAACTTTGAAGTCTAATTTTTACCACTTGATAACCGTACGAAACTTTGCGAACATTCTGTGAGTCTTGGCAGTAGATGGCGCTCACCCTTACTAAATAAAAGTCTTAGCAGTGCCTGAACACTAACAGGCACTTAAGAATCCAGCGCTGATGCCAGGCAATCCCGTATCCAGGTCAGGTCACTTTTCTAAGTCTCAAATTTCCTCACTGGTAATGTGGGGGTGGCAGCCGCCCCAATGGCCTCCAACTCAGACCGCTTTTGATTCTCTGACTACAGTGGTGGAGTTGACACAGACCGGCTGCTGCAACCGCCGCCTGAAATAGCAATTCGGAAAAGTCAGGCTGGGAAAGTGACAGAGTAGACGCTCTGCGGCTCTGACCCGGGCGGCGCCTCAGCAGCCCACACTACGTGGGCGGCAAAGCACAAACTCCTTAACCACGTGGTGCCTCCATTCCCCTAGGGAGTCCCATCATAGGATAACTTCCAGCAAAATCAATCTTCAAGAAAAAAGGAAGGGGTCCTGCCTAGAATATAAGGAAACACTCTGGGGATCCGGCAGCACAGCACAAACTTAGTTCTTGTGAGCCGCACAAAACCAACTTCCGCCCCAGCGGAGTTGCGTCCGGAAGGCGCGGCCCTGGAGGTCACGTGGGGCCGCGGAATTACGGCCTGGCGAGGCGGTCAGGTGGACGCCGTAGGCCACGTCATGTCGGCTGTTCCATGAACGTCAGGGTGGGGGCCGTCCCTATCGCAGGTATGAGACAAGTCCAGCTGCGTCGTGAGTGGTAATCGGAGGGAAAGAAGAATGATTTGCAGGGGCTCCCAGTTTTCTTGGCTGTGGCAGAGTCTCTTTGAGGGCCAGGTTCCTTCGGTTTCCTCCCAACTCCCCTGGTTCCCCCCGTAGAATTCCCGTTGGTATCGCCCTAGCCCCACCTCCCTCCGCTCCGCCCCCGCACACTGAGAACAGGGGCCCCTCACGTGACCCCAGCGCGCTCCCGCGGGGAAACATAATCTCGGAGGCGGCGCCGCAGGAGACTGAGGAGTTGATCGAGCGTTGCGCGCCGCAGCTTTCCCCCAGACGTCAGCGTTGAGGACACGATGTCGCGGCTCTCCCGCTCACTGCTTTCGGCCGTCACCTGCCTGGCCGTGCTCTGCGTGCTGTCTGCGGAAGAGAACACAACCCCGCACACGAACGTGACGAGTTTAGCGCCCACCTCCAACATAACCTCGGCGCCGGTGACGTCCCTCCCGCTGGTCACCACTCTGGCACCAGGTGGGCGCGGGCCCTATGGGCTTTCCGCCGAGCCGCACTGCCTGCCCGTCTTGCGGTCGGGGCCCGGGCTGGGGCCAGGGTCGGGCGGGCCGGCCGCGCTCGGGGTGCGGTGGCGACTCCGGCAACATGGCGGCCCGCCTGGAGTCCACTCGCGGTTGAGCCGGGTGGGGAGCGCGCTGGGGGGCAGGGGACTCGCGGTTCCCCGTGGCTGCGGGGCTGGGGCCCACCTCGAAGTGTTCCAAGTCGAGGTGCCTTTTAAAAGTGCATCGTAATCCCTAGCCTCACTTGGGGTCGGAAGTGAGGACGTGGCTTTTTTTCGCGGGGGCAGCGGTGGGGTTGAGGATGGGGCCGGGCGTCGCGCCTCTGAGGTTGGCGGTGGGACCGAGCTGCCTCTCGCTGCGGCCGGTCGCCTCTCTCCGGAGGTAGCTTTTTCCGGAAGTCCGGGAAAGAGAAACTTAAAGACGGTAATGCTCGTTGGTGTCTCAGACTTGAGTCTGAGAAAGTCGCTTGAGATTTAATTACATTGATTCTGCAGATAGGAATAGAATGTAACTGAGGTTTGAGCACGTAGTTAGTGAAAACTTCACACTTCATGGTATGCGAAAAGGAAGAAAAGTACCTATGTATGTACTGAGTGTTTTGCGTACGTATCCTAAGGCTAAACTGGAAGGTAAGTAGTGAAACCTAGGAGGTAGGTGCAGAGACAGAGATGAGTAAACTCTCCTCACAGTGTATGTTTATTCTTTTTTCAATTGTTTTTAAAATTTTCTTCACTATGTCCTGTGCTCAGACAGCGTATTAGTAGGTTGTGGAATTGGGATTTGTGCCCAGGTCTGTGGGTTTTCTAAAACCTGATCAGGAGCATGTCTTTTGTTATGTACAGTCGAATAGGGCTGGTTAAGGTATACATACATTTTAAAGCAGAAATTGGCACATACCGTGACAACGCAAAAGAGAGAAGGAAGATAAGTTTGAGGTAATAAGCAGGAGAAACCCCAGATGTTTAAAACCTGCAGTCTCGTATGATTGGTTATTGTAGTTAACATTAGTTAAGAAGTAATGTTTGTGTAGGTAACATTGGTTTTTCGACCGAAGAATGCCGAAGTGTAATGATTTTTATCGCGGCATTCATAGTCTACAAATTCTCCTCTAGTTTTAGTATTTTCTAAAAGTTTGATAAAGTACATAGTAAACTTAATGTTTTGTTAGTTTCAGGAAGATGTAATGGTAACATTTCAAAACGAGGGAAGTAAATTGCAGTATAATACTGGGAATTCTAACCGCACTATTTTTAAGGTGATAGAGCAGAATATGTTTGTCTCCGACTTAATTTGGCAGTTTCCTTTCAGAATTGTAGTGTGTGTGTAAGAGAAGGTTGGAAGTATCAAATTAATTGCCTTTGTGTAATTGAAGTGCGTGCAAAGGAGGTACGTATTTTCTGGAAATCATAAGTGGGTGTGGTGTGGTCTGAAAGGTAGGAAGTTTAGTTCATTGTAAAGAACATTCAGACATTTCACTCCGCTACACCCATCAAGCACAAAGGTTTTTAAACAGCATGTTTTATGTATACAAACTTAAAATTCATTTCTACTTTATGAACCCCCCACCCGCCCACCGTACGTGTCCCAGTCTTTAATAAGTACTAATGGTGAAGTATTGAAAGCAGTGCCTCTGCAGAACTATTTTTTAGGCAGGAGCAAAGCAAATGAAAATATTCGGAGGCATCTAGTTTCTAGGAAAATGAATACAGCCCAATTCTTTTTTTCTTTCATTTTACTGCTTTTACTCACTGGAAAATAGAGCGCAATTTTATAGTCCGTTCTTCTCTGGAAATTGAATTATGGTGATGAGTACTTATTTCTGGACTGTTTGGCCTAGGATGAACTATTGACAAATACCTTGTTAACTTGAATTATATGCACGTGAATATGGCCTTATAGATGTTGTCTCCAGTTGTAGAGGATCCTGTCAAGAGTGGATCATTTATGAGTCGAGAATCCCTGGGAAATGATCTTTTTTTGCAGCAGAACGGGCATCATCAGGGCTTGGGTTCAACCTGTTAAACTACTACTGTTACTACTAAAAAATCTCAGGGTTTTATCTGATGTTTGGGGGTAGTGATTTTCTCATATGTAGTGTTGGTCTTACAGCCAAGCCTTTTTCTCAATATTTTTATGTATTAAGGATGCTTTGAAATGCCTGAATCCTTAATGACTGTGTGTGTCTTTCAACTAGTTGTCCTGTGAAAAAGGATTGGTTAGATAGATACCATCAGGCACTGTACTAAGAGTGACCACTAGCTTGTTTGTTTTTCTAATGCGTTTACTTACAGCTTTGTAATGATTGGAATTTCTTAGTAAGCCAGTTTATAAAGTTTTATCATTTCTTTGAATTAGTAATTTTGGTGCTGTATGTAATACTTACTGTTCAAAAAGATAAGTAATACAGATTCAGATAAGATACCAGTAAAATCATTGATTTCATGCATCTCTTCCCCCAACCCCCCAGAAACCTGTGAAGGTCGAAACAGCTGCGTTTCCTGTTTTAATGCTAGCACTGTTAATACTACATGCTTTTGGATAGAATGTAAAGGTAAGAAACTTTGGGGATGCAGAACTGTTTTGTTATAACATTTTAAAATACAATAACTCTTGAACACTTGGAAGTTATGTAGGACATTTAGGATATTGTGCACTATTTATTTTGTAAATCCAGTACTCCTTTAAAGTGCCAGTTGCCTAGCACTCCTCCTGAAAGTCTCTTTTTGTTTCCCATCCCCCCTTTAGATTCCTGAATACTTGATAACTAAAGCTCAGTAGTTTGTTTTTTTATGAGATGGAGTCTCCTGTGTTGCCCAGGTTGGTCTTGAAATCCTAGGCTCAAGCAATCCTTGTAGCTTGGCCTCCCTAGTAGCCAAGGCTACAGGTGCGTGCTTCCTCGCCTAGTTTTTTTAAAAGGCTGTTTTAAGGATTAAGAGTACTTTAATAAACTGAAATTAACTGTGAATGAAGGTTATGTTGAAAACTGTTTGAGACATTGATTTACAGATGTCCTGCAACGTGAAATACGAAGAGACCTGATTAACTGTTGGATGCTTAGGTATAGAGAAGAATGAGGCGGGGAGAGTTGACTCTTCTGTGCTTTTGTTAATATGAGAGGTAGAGAACTAGCGGGAAGGACGTTGAAATTCAATAAAGTTCTTAGTAGAACCATGAGATTACTGCATAAATTATTTTAATTCTGTTTTTTTTAATGTAAAGTGGTTGTACTTTCTTATCAGTAAAACAGTCTAGTCGTTTTGGTGGTTTTTTGTTTGTTTTTAAGTAGAAATGCCAAAGCTACATAAGTTTTTTTATTTGGTAAAAATTTTAGTTGTACTAGAAATTACATCACTACGTAAATTTCAAAAGGCTCTTTAAGGTATGAACTAAATTGGGCTAAATTAACTTTTTTGTTATAGAAGTGTCTCTTTTTTAGGTCATAAAATGGGATTTAAGGGTGTACTCTTCACCTTTATGTGAGAGTATGCAAGAGTTGGTGAATTTTGGAGATGGAATGCTCTACTTTAAGATTTCTTGGGAAAGGTTCTCCCCTTAACTCTTGCTGCAAGTCTACCTATCCAGGAAAGTTATTTTAGAAGGTATAGAAGACTAAAGCAGAGAGATCTGGAATAGAGTTTCTACGGTGTTATGGGGTGCCTCTTCTGTTTACTAAACCTCTTAATAAAAACCCTGACCACTTCAACTTACTGTCTCTGCCCTTTTTTGTTTTTCTTTTTTAATAGGAGTTCTGTATTCTTAGTAGAGGCAGGGTCTCACCATACTGGTCAGGCTGGTCTCGAACTCCTGACCTCAGGTGATCCTCCCGCCTTGGCCTCCCAAAGTGCTGAGATTATAGGGATGAGCCACCTGCCCTCTTTTTAGATGATGGCTGCCTTTCTTGATTGTGCAGCAGTCTTTCCACAATTCTGAGATCTAAGTGTTGCCGATTTATTTGTTCTGTATATTAATGTGAATTTTTAATGCATAAAAGAGGGATCCTGTGTAATCTCTAAGTCAGTGGGAAAAGGAGAATGACAGGATTTTATCTGTGGGTTTAACTTTGGGTCAAAACACCTCTAAAGTTGGTGGTTGTTCCCCCCCCCCCCCCACTTCTAAAGTGTTTGGATTTGATGTCATAGAGCTTAGTAGCAAAGTCAAAGGTAATACAAGTGGGTGGTTGATGCTGTTTTGTCTCTTTTTTCCACCCCCCCCCACCCCCGCCAACAGATGAGAGCTATTGTTCACATAACTCAACAGTTAGTGATTGTCAAGTGGGGAACACGACAGACTTCTGTTCTGGTGAGTATTCATATTGGCTGCTTGGAAACTGACCACAGAGAGGTGAGGAAGATCATTGCCTCAGAAAACCTTGTTTCAGTGCTTTGTTTGAAGCATTGCCATAATTCTCATCTTGTTAGAATTGGAATATGAATAACATATTCATATTGATTGATTAAAGGATGCTATTTGAAGCGTGATTTAGTGATTTAGCTACAGTGTGGATGCTGTAAGTGTAGATGCATTTTCTGCCCCCACACTTTTTTTTTTTTTTTTTAAGCTTTTCTAGGAATTCATCACAGTTTAGACCCTATGTATCTTGCAGGTCTGGAAAACCTCATTCTGGCACTTTCTGTGTTATGATACTGGGGATTGTTGATTGTTACATTTAGTCTGCAGCATAGCTGGTGCTATGGTTAAATGAGCTTTTCTATACCCATCAGTTTTCTGTATTTTAATCTAAGTAACTTGATTGCTCTTTAACCTTTACTATTCGTCCAACAAAATGTTAAAATTCTACTTGAAGCTGCTGATTTTTCTAATGAGATTGTAAATCAGTGGGAAAGGCATGTTCCTAATTTGATGCATAGATAATAATTGAATAGAAAAAGATTTTTGTGGAGTATGTCTAACCTTGGAAGACTACCTTTGACTCTTTAATTTTGGTGGAGGTTGCCCCATCCCAGTGTGAATTTGGTAACTGAAGATTTCATTAGTATTAGATCAGTTTTACTTTACACGGGGTGCATAATATAGTTCAGTGGTACAAGAACAAACTTTTTTTGAGACAGTCTCTTTGTTGCCCAGGCTGGAGTGCAGTGGCGCAATCATAACTCATTGCCACTTCGTATTCCTGGGCTTAAGCAATCCTCCTGCCTCAGCCTCCCCAGAACCTGGGATTACGGGTGCATGCCACCATAACTGGCTAACTTAAAAAGTTTTTGTAGAGATGGTGTCTCACTATGTTGCCCAGGCTGGTCTTGAACTCCTGGGCTCAAGCAGTCTTCCCACGTTGGCTTCTCAGGGTGGTGAAATTACATGCTCGAGCCCCCAGACCTGGCCCAAACATTTTTAATAGTTATTTATTTTAATATGTGTGAGATAAACTAATAACTGTCAGACCTGTGGTTTTGTGATACTGCTTAGAGACAAAATTAAGTAATGAAGATTTTGTTATTATTAGAACGTTTTTGAAAACACTGATTTAAAGGAAAACTGAATTTTTAATGCTGCTTATTTGATGATACACCAGTTAGAATTAGTTCTAATTATACCAGTTAGAAATAGTTTCAGCTGTGAAGGACATAAACCCCCAAATTACAATGGTTTAAGCAGTGGACTGATTTACTTTTCTCTCATGTAAAGGAAGTCTGGAATAGAGTTCAGTTCAGCTCTGCAACCATTAGGGACTGAGGCTTCTTTAGGTTTTCACTCTTTCACTTCTCAAAAATGGCTTTGACCCTACTGTCCAAGGTGGGTGCTTATGTTCCAGCCATCACATTGATTTTTTTCCTGCCAGCAGGATGAAGAAGGGAGTGAAAGGCTTGTATCTTACTTTAAGGATGTTTCCTAGAGGTTACGCATGGTGACCTAGATGCACTGGAGACTAGGAAATGTCTTTTCAGGAGGAAGGGAGGTGTTGATAAAAATTGGTGATTCTATTTCTAAAGAAGAAGAGACTGGTATTTGGGGGCAACTGTCAGTCTTTTCCACAGGTAGTACTTAAGTATGGTAAAAAGTGGTACTCAAATGATTGCAGGTCAGGAAGTAGCGTTATAGATTGTGATATTTTAAATAGCTTTGAGATATATGGTTTTTCTTTTTTCTTTTTTTAGTAGTGCCCACAGCCACTCTGGTGCCAACAGCCAATTCTACAGGTAATTCAAGATGACCATTTTCTTCCTTTTCCTTCAGTATTTTTAAGCTCTTGATGGATTAATTTTAAATAATTATGTAAAAGTTGTTAGTATAATTTTAAAGATGAGTAAAAACTTAAAGTCTTAGACTACAGCAGTTAACGTTAATCTCTACCTTTTGTGACAGTGACACATAGCTCCAGTGTTTTGTATTTGGTGAGTATGAGCAGATTTGCTGAGGCTGTGTATGTTGAGTCTATAAAGTACTTTTTATAGATTTAGTGGAAATCTTGGGAAATGTAGAAGCTTAAAGCAAATTATAATTATTATCATCCAGAGCACCCCAAAATGTTTTCAGTGATTAATTTCTTCTAGTCTTTTTTATATGTGTATCTAAATAAATACACTTTTTATGAAATTGTACGATAATGCTCATGCACCTTTGTATTTCTTTTTTTTTTTCTTTTTTTTCTTTTTTCTTTTTTTATTGGAGGCGAAGTCTTGCTCTGTTGCCCAGGCTGGAGTGCAGTGGTGCAATCTTGGCTCACTGCAACCTTCACCTCCCAAGTTCAAGTGATTCTCCTGCCTCAGACTCCTGAGTCGCTGGGATTACAGGCACCTGCCATCATGCCCAACTAATTTTTGTATTTTTAGTAGGGACACGGTTTCACCACGTTGGCCAGGCTGGTCTTGAAATCCTAACTTCAAGTGATCCGCCCACCTCAGACTCCCAAAGAGCTGGGATTACAGGTGTGAGCCACCATGCCCAGCCTGTATTTTCTCTCTTAATGTAAACATTATGGTATACACTTAACCCATCCTGCTCTTGATTGGAGAGTTAGGACGTCTCTCACTCTCCATGCAGTGAACATCTTATATGGAATTGCATTTGTATTTATGTCTGATGGGATTGAGTCAACAGAATTTCTAGGTCAGAGGGTATGATTATTTCAAGACTTTCCAGAAAGATTTATTATTTTCATTCCTGTCAACCTGGAAAGTTTTTATCATGCCCTCAACAGCATGGATAAGAACTCCTTAAAATTTACTAACTTGACAGGAAAAGTAAATATTAAATACTTAACATTTTACCAATATTAAATGCATCTATTCCAAGACAAGTACTAGGGTAGATGGTAGGGATAAGCCAGCCTTTTGTCTGCTGTAGGAACAATGAAAGATCTCAGCACAGCAGGTTGGGAAATTTGTAGGAAGGTATGTGTATTGGGTGGGATGCAGATGTGGTGATAGCTTGGTAGTGAAACGGCACTGGTAAAACTTGGAGAAAGCCTCCCAGGTGGAGCTGCAGGTTAGCACATGTGGAGGAGATGTGTAGTACAGTGAGGTCAAAGAGTGTCCCATCCTGTGCAAGGTGAGAAGCAGTTAAGTTGATCTGTCACCAGGGCAAGAGCAGAATGGAGAAGCACCTTTGTATTCCTTGATGGTAGACTTGGATGTTATCCTGAAAGATTTTAAAGTATGTAGGTCATATGATCAGACTTGCATTTTAGTAAAAGAACTTATTTTGGCATTGTGGAGAGTAGGTTGGAACGATGCCAGAAGGAATTCAGGAGATTAGATAGCCAGTTACAGTAATTCTAGAGGACAGAGGTGGGCTGCAGATGTTTGCAAATAGGTTTAGAAAGTAGAAGGGGTAGGACTTCATGACCGAGAGGAGGAGAAGTAGAGTGATAGGGAGAAGGGGAGGAATTTTCACCAAAGAAAGCAAGAAAGAGGAAGAGCAGTCATTGATGGTTGGGGCTGTCATTTGGGATTTTAGTTTAAGATGCCTAGAATCCATTTAAGTGGGATCTGTTCAGTATTCGGGAAACTGCAAGTCAGGCAAGAGCTCTTGGTTAAAAATATAAATTGGCATAGATAGTAGTAGAGGCACTGGAGGAGCATATAGAAAGAAGGGATGGGGCTTGAGGACCAGACTCAAGGAAACAGTAATGTCTAAGGGCTAGGAAGAGGATAGGGGAGGAAATAGGGATGGGTAGGGTAGTTGAAAAGCCCAGAGAAGTATGTGCAAGAAACTAACCGTATGTGGTTGTGGGTGTCGTTTTTCAAAGGAAAAAGTGGTCAAGTGCTATAACAAGGACAAGAACTCAATCTTGAAACAGTTGGGCAGCGGTGTGTGGAGCTGGCTTGGACAAACTTTTGCTAGCCAGTTATGAGTAGCTCTTTCCAACCCCTGTTCAGTGATACCATGTTGGTAACTTGAAACTGGTTACCGTGGAAATAGTCATGCCATGGAAGTCTGCAAATGATACAAAACTTATTTTGAGCTGATGATTATATGGTGATGTGGTTGTAAATGTTTAACACTCATTAGAAGACATTGACTAAGTAGGATGTTGAAGGTTGCTGAAACCAGAGATGTTTGGAGAAAAGTAATTTTCAGAAGGTTGGTTATGAAAAGAAAATGGGGTGCAGGAAGTAGGGGAACAATTTCTTCAGAACTGTTCATTTCTTCAGAACTAGGTTCACTCTTGATGTAGTTCTCTGCAGCTTTCTCCACCCTGGGTCCTCCTGTGAATTGCCATGAGTCTTTTGTGCTGCAGCTCTCTTTGGTGCTGTAAAGGTGGAAAGTGGCAAGGGCTTATCTGCAGAAAATGCATCAATTGACACTAGTTGAAGAACAAACCTTTAGGCGGTTGCTTTTCCTGGCATGTGTACCTTCTGCCAAAGACAGCAAGTGAGAAATGAAGGGGCAGTTAATGCAAAGAGAATCTAATTTATATAGAAGGGTGTATAATGAGGTTAATTATAATGGCCCTCCTTCAGTACAAATAATAGAATAGCCAAAATATGTCAGATATAGTGGAAAATGTTTATATGAAGTGGAAGATAAACTGTATTAAGCAATTGTAGTACAATTTTAGCTTTTGTTGTGTACATGCCTAGAAAAATGGCAGGAAGTAACCTTTTTCTCGGATGGGACTAATTCAGTATTTTTATGGCATTTTCTAGATTTTCTTACCACTAATAGCAGCTTTTATAACTTAAGATATTTTTTTGTTACCTTTCCTAATGATTTTTTTTTTTTTTTTTTTTTTTAGTAAAACAGTAGGTCAACAGAGGTATATTCCCTAAGTGGTGCTTTTATTTTGAAAATATTGTCAATGTAATACTTTTTTCAAAATTAAAAATAAAATATTTTGCCTACTTATAAAAAAGAACTAGTTTTTACCTTGTTCTGAGGCTGGGTAGTGAGAATCAAATTGCAAATTTGCAGAATTTTTTTTCTAACATTGTCAAACAATTAGTAATAGTGTTTTGAGATTGAACAGAATTTGATGTGTTTAACTTGTAAAGTTATTTTTTGTTGTTACATAGAAGCAGTAAAAACCTTGATAGGAATAATGAGCTTTAACGTAATCATAGCCTCTAATCTAGGAATTCTGTGTAAGGACCAGTCTTATCAGAGATAAGGTCAAATATTTTCCCCTAAGATTTTCCCAGCATGGAGAGATGAGAGAACTGTTTAATCAAGAGCAGAATGGATGAAAGTATGTACAACAATGCTTGAAGTAAGAGGGAAAAGAAAGCAAATAGGTCTGAACATATCCATCAGTATTATTTGTATATCACCTATTAGCTTCTAAGTAGTATCAATACTAATAAAAGAAGTCTTAAGCTCTCTGTTTACTCATTGTCATGTAAAAATTAGAATACTTTAGTTTCCTAGGATTCTGTCAACTTTGGGACATGGGTAGTCTGCCTGTTACGAGAGTCCTCGTCTTTAAAGATCTGCTTTTAGCAATATTCAGATATTTAGCAATATCTGAAAACTGTCAAGCCCTGCTCTTTCAGTGTATATTTACTGTTAAAGCACAGAACTTCCTCTTTTATATTAGTAGAATTTGGGAGGATGCTGATTCCTATTGAGGTTTTTATTTTGATTGTTTGAAAGTCTAATACAGTGAAAAGATTACCTCATTTCTGTGCTTTATCAATAGGTATTTGGCACCCTTTCCCTGTCTTTTGTGGGTTAAGCATATCACTTTGAAGTCTATTCAGTTATGTACTTTAAACAGAAGTAACATTTGTTTTCCAGATTCTCTTTAGCCCTCAAATCCTTTTTTCTGAAACAGTACAAAAATGAATGTTTGCATAGCATCTTACATTTTTATAAAAATATAACTCTCATATGATTAATCTTCCTCATCTTTCCCCAAAGCATCCCTAGCTGCCCACCAGCATAAGCAGATCCTCATATTGAAGCCCTTGCACTCTGAAGCCTGACTTACCTAATGATTTCCTAAGACAAAAGAAGCTCTCTTAGCTAGTGACTCCTATAGTGCACTTTCCAAAAATTTGAACCCTACCCTTAGGACAACCTCTTAATGAAACCTTTCTCAAACGCTCCAGCAAACTTTGAATTTATTTGGTAGCCATTTGGGTGTTAGAAAAAATGTTAATTTGTATAAACTATATTCACATCCTTCCTTTCTGAAAGCCTTGGTCAGACTTCTATTAGTATTGATACTACTGGTAGAAATTTAATAGGTAATATACTGGCTGGACACGGTGAGTCATGCCTGTTATCTCAGCACTTTGGGAGGCCAAGGCGGGCAGATCACTTGAGTTCAGGAGTTCGAAACCAGCTTGGGCAACATGGTGAAACCCCATCTCTACTAAAATTACAAAAGTTAGTTGGGTGCAGTGGCGGATGCCTGTAATCCCAGCTACTTGGGAGGCTGAGGCAGGAGAATCACTTGAACCCAGGAGGCAGAGGTTGCAGTGGGCCGAGATCGCAGCATTGCACTCCAGCCTGGGCAACAGAGTGAGACTCTGTGAAAAAAAAAAAAAAAAAATTGATGATACACTAATTACTTAGTAGCTCTTTGGATGCTAGGAAAAATGTTAATTTGTATAAACTATAACCACATATATGAGAACTCTTACAGATGACAACTTGTAATGCACATTGTTCACTGTTCCCTTCTTAAGAGTGATTTAGGCTGGGCGCGGTGGCTCACGCCTGTAATCCCAGCACTTTGGGAGGCTGAGGCGGGCGGATCACCTGAGGTCAGACTTCAAGACCAGCCTCGTCAACGTGGTGAAACCCCGTCTCTCCTAAAAATAAAAATTAGCCGGGCATGGTGGCACGTGCCTATAATCCCAGCTACACAGGAGGCTGAGGGAGGAGAATTGTTTGAACCCGGGAGACGGAGGTTGCAGTGAGCCAAGAATGCGCCATTGGACTCCAGCCTGGGTGACAGAGCAAGACTCCGTCTCAAAAAAAAAAGAGTGCTTTAGTCCCTAAAATGATTTTATGTTCAAACTGATCCTTCTCAGAATGTGCATTTCTTTAGCAGTATCATCAACTCTTAGGCTGGTGCGAAAGTAATTGCAGTTCTTGCCAATAAAAGTAATGGCAACTCAAGTAGTATTTTGTCCCCATGCTATGTGGTGGACTAGAGCTTACACTTGGGCTCTTAGAATCTTATGTTGGGGAACTGCGGGCCCAGGGCCCCTGTTCTTATAAAGCTTCATTGGGAACATATCATGCCCATTCATATGCAGGGTGACTTTGGCTGCTTTTGCATTACACAGTGCCCAAAGAGTAAAATATTTGCTTTCAACCTGTTTAAGAAAAGTTTGCCAACCCCTGAAGTGAAGAAGATAGGCAAATCTCAGTACCCTTGTAAGAGAGAACTTACGACTTTATACTTACGACTTTAATAGTTTTTGTCTTAGGAGAAAGATTATGAAGAACCGATAGTTTCCTCCCCTAAATATATTCTTGCCCTTGGCTGTGAGCAAGATAAAAAAGTTTTGGCAAATTTTATCCAGATATATACATAAGTTTTATACAAGATATATACATAGCTATTAACAATTTTATGATTGCTTAATGTTTTAAAATACACTTAAATCCTAGTATTCTTGGGTGCATAGCTATGTTAGTGAACCATTAACTGAAATTTGGCTTTTGGTCTCTTAAAAAATTGAAAGCATGTTGAAGTTGGCAGCATTATTTTTTGAAGCTGTTAGATAACTGGGAAGCTAGAAATTTAAGATTTTTTAAAAAGACATTTTGTTTTCATTCCAGCTAAACCCACAGTTCAGCCCTCCCCTTCTACAACTTCCAAGACAGTTACTACATCAGGTAATTGAGGCTTTTTAGATTAACAGTGATGTAGGATGTGTGTACGATGTTGCCCTTTACAATTTCTACCATCATTTTCCAGGTTTCTTCATTAATGGTTATGGAACTGCTCTTACATTTAGGGGGGATCAAGGTAGTGCTTTGTTAACACAATAATGATAGCTTTGCTGAAATGCCTCTTCTTATTTTTAACTGTGTAATCACATTTGACGTGACACTTTAGAATTAAGTAGTAATGTTTTTCCAAACATTTCAGTACAACTTGTATGTAAAATCGGATTGGTTGTGTGCTGTATAAGAGAGCATGGCAATTTGAGGGAAGATATATATCCGTCCTTTTCACTGAGAAAGGTCTAAAAAGTCTGAATCACTACCAGATGTGCACCTCACTTACTTAACCTTTTCTTAACATTGCTCAGTAATGTGAATATTAGCTTGTTATTAAATGATGATTTGACATAATCTAATTTAAGTCATATTTAGATTATGCCACAGGATACCGTAGTTACACAGGTTAGGAATCCTTTCCTCCACCCATATTTTTAAAAAACTGATGCTAATGAATCTTCTACCTGCTTTTTGTGATTTCTTTGGCTTCATGCTTACGCCACCTTTTTCTCATTTTCAGTGAAGCCACTCAGTCTTCACAAGAAGGAATACAAAACGGTTGTGATTAATTTTAAAGTAACCAAACTTGTACAGCCACTGTACTAAGAAAAAAGTAACAGTTATTTTAAATGGGAAATCGCTTTTTCTGTTTCCTCTTGAAACATTTTACTGCCTGAAAAGAAATTCAGATTTTTGATTTTTCCTTATTACTTGATAATACTATCTCACGTGAAATTTATTGGCAGGATATGCCTTTAAAAACAAATTATTTTACTTGTTGAAATTATAATTTGCATATTATTAGGATTATTTTTGTAACATGAAAAATTGCAACCATATTTTTGACCTAATACTAGTAAATTCACAATTCATGTGACTTTTCAGTACTATTGATGTTTACAGTCGCGATTAACTAAAAGTACATAGTCTGAAGAAATTGTCGCATATTTTAGAAGTGTTTGATATATTCCCAGGGCACAATTTACATACCAGGAGAATTTTTCCCATTGTTTTTATATTTGTAGTAGTGCGACAACATTGCCCACTTTGTATCCTTCGGTGGAAATGAAAAATGGGATATGGTTGTCTTCCTCAATTAGGGATAAATTCTAGCTGTAAAGACTTGACTCGAGGAAATAATTTATAGAATTTAACACATGGCAAAATAGAGGCTCAGGTGAGTCTTTAAATTACAGTAGAGGACCATGAAACTTAGGAATGTTGCTTCTCTTGTCTTCCCTAACAGGTACAGCAAATACCACTGTGACTCCAACCTCACAACCTGTGCGAAAGTCTACCTTTGATGCAGCCAGTTTCATTGGAGGAATTGTCCTGGTCTTGGGTGTGCAGGCTGTAATTTTCTTTCTTTATAAATTCTGCAAATCTAAAGAACGAAATTACCACACTCTGTAAACAGACCCGTTGAATTAATAAGGACTGGTGATTCATTTGTGTAACTCACTGAAACCAAAATACTATCTTTCAAGATGTCCCACATGGAAGACGCTATTCCAGGATCTTTAAATTTCCATGGATGCATATAGGATGTTTGGGAGCATCATCCGTGAAGAAAAAAATCAATTAAATCATTGTGTTCAACAGGAATATTTAAAATACTCTGCATGAATCCTGTGGCCGTCTTCTTTTGTTCTAAATAGCTGCTGCTGTGGGATTATATATTTTTTTTCCTTAACATGCCAAATGTAACTTTCTGTAAGTGATGGAAAATGTTGTCTTGTGCAGACAACATCATGACTCTTGGCAGTTTAAATTTAGTAATTTTAATTTAGTGAGCAGAATTGAGAAGAACGTGCCAAATGAGAATTAATTAGGTGGGTTTTTGGCTGTCATTTCAAAAGTGGAATAAATTTAGTAGTACAAATGGTATCCTTAGAGTAAAATTTTGTGCTTGATAACAGCTATTTTTTCTACATTAGAAATAAGATGCCACACAAGGAATTACATTCCAGATTTAAAGAAATGAAAGGATACCATTAGTGTATAACAGGTTATTCATACTTACAAAGCACCTTATGTCATTGAGAAAATAAAGAACAGTGCCTTAGAAGACAGTGAAAGGTAAGCTCTAGCTATTATGATTTGTTCTTTCACAATAAAGAAGGGAAGGATTGGTCAGCGGATGTAACTTGGATGTGAGCAAGTAAACCTGTTTTAGATATCATACTGTTAATATTTAATTGAAAATTTATTTCAGAGCAGAGAAACTTAAGCTAAAGGCTGTTATACAAAATTGAAAGACTTCATATATTGAACCTCCCAACATTTTTCTTATGGCTGTTGAAAAGTATAGAGCTAAATTGATTTAATTATACTTTCCTTGGTACTTTAAAAAGTATGCTAGCATTATTGTACCTTGAAAGGATTTCCACCAAACTTTCTTGAGAAGTGACTTCTTTGGTGAGGCAAGAAGGAAATACATTATTTTAGAATCATTTACTATTTAAATGAGACAATCTTATTATTTTAGAATCATTTATTTAAATGAGACAATCATTTTAAGTTTTAAGACAGAAGTGACCAATGTAATTTCAAAACACCTAAGGATTTTTTGGTTGATCAGGTTACTGTAGATTTTTACTGATTGTCCTGGATAAATAGACTGTGCTTTTTCTTTTTCTCTCCCTTCCTTTCTTCTTGGTTTCCCATAGTATAATAAGCATGCATACTTTAACTTCTATAGTTTTCTTGTTTAGAGGGTCTTCAGTGTTAGAGAATTATTTCTCCCTTGCCTTTGACTCATTGGACTAGTTCAGAGGCTTTAAGTAGTTTAAAATGGGCTTTTGCTTTTCTAGGTCATTAACGGTTTTTATTTAGTTTCTTTAGCCAATAGTGGCTGAGTTTCGCACTTGATTTTCAATATTTTATAGTAAGAAATGACAGATTGCTTGGGTTCATTTCATAAACTGAAACTCTGCATTTAGATAACTGTTAAAGGTTATTAAGATGAAGATTTACTGTTTCTTTGTTACTCGGTACAGCTGTTTGTTTTACTTGCACATTTGTACATATACCTAATGTTTTCAAGTGCCTTAATTGTTTAAAATCTCTGGCTTCAAAGTTTCTTGGGGAAAGGTAGGTTTACCTCACATTTTTTGTTTCCATTAGTAATATTCTAGGTACCTCACAAAATGTATTATGGTGCCATGGCTGTTAGTTTTTAGTAAGTGCTGTAGGATTAATTTGAAAATAGGCAGAATTCCATTCCTCCAAGGTGGCAAAAATTAGCTAAAATGATGTAATTGTCCTTTACCTGGGTATGAATTCCCTGACACACATTAATGTCAACATATGTAGCAAATTTTGTGAAAATGTAACAATTTGAAGGTTCTGTAATTTTGAGCACTGCTCTAACAACAACAAGCATAATATAAAATTAGTTAGATTTTGCAGGTCTCCAGATGAGCTCTTGCAACAGAACTCACAGCCTTTTTACTTTTTCCCCTAACTTTAGCAATGTAGTATCTTGAGCCATTAATAATTTTTGGGTTTTTTTTTTAAAATCCAGAAGGTAATAGAAACCTTTTCAGATTTTTCATCTGATTTGTTCTTGCAGATGTTCTTCTATCAGATACCTTATTTTACCTTACAGATATTTGTTGCACAGGCAGATACTGCTGTATTTAGACATTTCTATTTCAGTTCATTAAAAACTGCAAAACCAATCTGTATCATGTACCAAACTGACTTAAAATAAATCTACATGTTTATTGAATTAATAGTGTGTTATTGCGTTTTGCTTATAACATTTAATGCTTGCTAGATTTATCTTAGTCCACTTGGGGTGGGTGTTCTACTCAATTTTTATTGCTCCTCTAGACCAGCAGATAGTTACTAAGGTGCATGTTCGTATCAATAGAAAGCAGAGCCTTGGAAGTAATAGGTGGAGGGAGGACTTGGTACTCCTGTGGGAGTGATTTGCAAGTTGATCTTCCACAAATCAATAGAAATTATGCTGTAGTTTTCCAATAATTTATGAGAGGAATACTATCTTGTTTTTATATATTTGAAAGCTAGTTTGTGACTTTCTGCCATTTTAGTCCATATTGCATATAAAGTAAAAACCAAGTACTATTTGGTATAAAATTACTACCAAGCTACTTGCTGTGATTTTAAAACGTGGTTCTTGTTATTTTGTGGGCAAAATTATGTTCTAGTTTAAATCACTGGACTTGAACTAAGAATTTACTTCTCTATAAGCCTTAAAACCTATAAGGGTGGACTGAATAATTCACTTTAGAAATCATGAATTTTGGGTTTTGTATTAGCCTTACACATGGTCACATTTGATTTAAGTAATACAAAACTTGATGCTAAGCTTAATGACTCTGGTAAACATTAGAAACAAATTTTTTTTTTTTTTTGATATGGAGTCTCACTCTTGTCACCTAGGCTGGAGTGCAGTGGCGCGACCTCAGCTCACTGCAGCCTCCACCTCCCAGGTTCAAGCGATTCTCCTGCCTCAGCCTCCTGAGTGGCTGGGATTACAGGCGCCCACCACCATGGCCAGCTAATTTTTGTATTTTTTTTAGTAGAGATGGGGTTTCGCCGTGTTGGCCGGGCTGATCTCGAACTCCTGGCCTCAAGTGATCCACCTGCCTTGGCCTCCCAAAGTGCTGGGATTATAGGCGTGAGCCATCATGCCTGGCCTTGTCCAGTGTTTTTTAGTCATTTCAGAATCCAGCCTCATTTCATCGCAGCTGGAAGAAAAAGTTCAAGATAGGGTTTATAATGTATTATTTTTAAAATTTTCAATTAATAGATTTTCTTAAATATACTTCTTATAAAACAAATTGCATTTAAATATTACAGATACGGTGTCAGTCTGCCTTGACTATCCCCAGCCCTTTTCTCCTCTTGCCTTCCTCTATTTACCAGAATGGTGATACAGAGGTAATCACTGTAACTGGTTTACAATTAATGGATTTATAATCACATAATTGTATGTACCTTTGGAAAATATGTAATGTAGATTTTTATTTTATCATCCTGTAATGTTCACTCACTTTTTGGAGATCTTTCAAATGTAGTGTTATGTGACTATACCAAAATTTTTTTTTCCCCTAGGGTACATGTGCACAACGTGCAGGTTTATTACATAGGTATACATGTGCTATGTTGGTTTGGTGCACCCATCAACTTGTCATTTATATTAGGTGTTTCTCCTAACGCTATCCCTTCCCCAGCTCGCCACCCCTCAACAGGCCCCAGTGTGTGATGTTCCCCTCCCTGTGTCCATGTGTTCTCATTGTTCAACTCCAGCTTATGAGAACATGTGGTGTTTGGTTTTCTTTTCTTGTTTTCTGTTTTGCTGAGAATGATGGTTTCCAGCTTCATCCATGTCCCTGCAAAGGACATGAACTCATCCTTTTTTAATGGCTGCATAGTATTCCATGGTATATATGTGCTACATTTTCTTTATCCAGTCTATTATTGATGGACATTTGGGTTGGTTCCAAGTCTTTGCTATTGTGAATAGTGTCACAATAAACATACGTGTGCATGTGTCTTTATAGTAGCATAATTTATAATCCTTTGAGTATATACCCAGTAATGGGATGGCTAGGTCAAATGGTATTTCTAGTTCTAGATCCTTGAGGAATTGTCACACTGTCTTCCACAATGGTTGAACTAATTTACACTCCCACCAACAGTGTAAAAGCGTTCATATTTCTCCACATCCTCTCCAGCATGTTTCCTGACTTTTTAGTGATTGTCATTCTAACTGGCATGAGATGGTATGTCATTGTGATTTTGATTTGCATTTCTCTGATGACCAGTGATGAGCATTTTTTCATATGTCTGTTGGCTGCAGAAATGTCTTATTTTGAGAAGTGTCTGTTGATATCCTCTGCCCACTTTTTGATGGTTTTTTTTGTTGTTGTTGTTGTAAATTTATTTAAGTTCTTTGTAGATTCTGGATATTAGCCCTTTGTCAGATGGACAGATTGCAAAAATTTTCTTCCATTCTGTAGATTGCCTGTTCACTCTGATGATAGTTTCTTTTGCTGTGCAGAAACTCTTCAATTAGATCTCATTTGTCTATTTTGGCTTTGTTACCATTGCTTTTGGTGTTTTAGACATGAAGTCTTTGCCCATGCCTATGTCCTGAATGGGCTAAACCAAATTCTTAATTTCTGTGTTGGTATATGTAGTATGGATACCATAATTGACACAGGTATTTACCTATTGAAAGACAAGCTTTTTGCAGTTTTTAGTTCATAGCAACAATTTTACAGAGCATGTTTGTATCTGCCACTTTGTTTATGTGTGACTTTCTCTGGACTAGAAATGGAGGCGTGGAAATCTGCTTCAGAGGGTTTCCACACTGAGGACTTTCACAGAGATTGCTTCCCACTTATCACTGGCAGCAGATCACTTGATGACCAAACAGTTTTTAAATTTTAATGTTCTGGTGAGTGGAATGATTTCCTTGGTGAATCGTCAATTTTTCTTTTTTTCTTACCAATTTGTAGGGGTTTTTGTTTTAATCTGAAAATACGCTGGTTGCTAATCCATGGTGAATAGATTTTTTAATAGATTTTTGCCAAGTAAAAGCAAACTGCCTCTCACGGTGCAAAAGGCTTTAAGGAAATAACTGCATGTCAAGTCCCAGGAGCATACTAATTTGTTTCAGTAAAGATGCTAAGTCTGTGAGAGCAGCTGCAATTGAAATAACCACCTCATTAAGATGTGGAACTGATACTTCCTAGTTATTTCTAAGATCTGTCTTCTGCACAGGCCAGAGTGGTGAGTTAAATGATGAAGGGATGGGTATCATCACCCTTGTTTCTTTCGAATCTTTGATGGTGGCATTAATGCCCAGGGCCATTTCCCCAGGGTTATAGTATTGCTTCTGGTTTGCTTTTTTGATAGGGAAAGTTCCAGAGACTTCCAGTGATCCTACCATAATTGATTCTTAGCTCATATGTCAAAAAACCAATACGGAAATTCTTCATATTGTTAATTGTATTTATTCTAATTATTCACTCAGGAACTGGGGAAGTAGTCACAGGGTGGGTCCATGTACCTATTTGGTCCATTGTAATTCAGACCTGAGCTATGACTCTTTCTATATCATCTTACTGTAAGCCTTCATTTTGACTGGTAAGCCACAGTGGTGTTTTGGGTACCCAAGAATTAGCATTAATTTAGGCCCTGGGTCTAGTAACCACCAAAATGTCTGGGTATTTTCTTTTCTCTGAAGAACAGTAATTTAAGAAAACGATTGCAGGTCCCTTGGGGAACAGTTTGGAGGAAGATTTATAACATGAACCTGCACAGTGAAGGGTCCTTCCTCAAGGAGATCCAGCCTCCCCTTTGGTCAAGGGCCTCTGGTCTGTGAATTGACTCAAATCTGGAACCTGGGTCAAAGGCTGTGACTCCTCACTGTGGTGGCTCAAGTTTTGGCTACTAGACCTGTAGATTTTTCTGTTATATACATTAAGCAATTCTGTTACATTAAGCAATATAACAGTAATTCTGTTATATACATTAAGCAATTTCTGTTATATACATTAAGCAATCTATGATTTCATACTTGGGGACACATTAACTACCAAAGAACTCTGCAGGCCAAGGGATTCTGACTACTGGTACATCCCTGTTGCCCTTTATAATGGATGTGCCTACCTTGTCTTTTGCCAGTTAAAGCCTGCCACTTGGTGCTTCCACTTTGGAATTGCATTTTCTTCATTGAAATCACGGGGCCTATCTCAATGGCAGTGAGAAACTTGATGAGCTTATAAATACAACTGTCATTGTAATTTAGCATGCCAATAATAAAAATTTGTGCTTGATTTTTAGCAATATCATCCCTGTGACTATAAGAAATAAGAGATATTTTTAGGTGTATCATGGAAGCTTTCTGGTCTCAGACCATGAATTAAGCCTAGAATTAAAGGTCATGAGCTTGTCATTTTCTTCCAGAAGTGCTGAAGTGCATTCAAAAAAATCCACCTCACACCACAGTCTCTACAGTCAACATGACTACCATGATAGTCAGTGTAGTAGCAATTGAGGCTCCTAAAGGCACATACTTCAGTAGGTACTTTAGCACAATCTACTACCGGTAACAACATGATTGTGAAGCCACTGCATGCAAATAATACTAACATTCCAATTTCCTATTGGCTCAGCACTGAACAAATCCCAAGTTCCATCTGTGTTCTGTTTCAATACATTTTCTATTGTTTATAACACTACCTGAAACTGGGAAATTCGTAAACAAAAGGAATTTATTTCTTAAAGTTATGGAGGCTGGGAAGTCCAAGGTTGAGGAGGCACATTTGGTAAGAGCCTTCATGCTGGTGGGGACCCTCCACAGAGACCTGAGGCAGCACAGGGCATCACATGGTGAAGGAGCTGAGCATGCTAACCCAAGTTTTCCTTTCTTATAAAGCCACCAGTCCCACTCCCATGATAGTCCATTAATTTAACAACCCACAAATCCATTGATTTGTGGATTGAATGGATTCATCCACTCATAAGGGCAGAGTCCTCATAACCCAATCACCTCTTAAAGGTCTCACCTTTCAGTACTGCCACATTGGGGATTAAATTTTAACATGAGTTTTGGAGAGGACAAACATTCAAACCATAGCAGGTCTATCCTGTGGGAACACCTGCTTCTGGTACCAGTTCTATATCAGTGATGGGCCAATCAGGAGACAGAAAGCACACAGTAATTCAAACAGGGAAAGTCTGATATAAAGAATTA